CTACAGCATCCCCCACCTTTTGAGGCCAGTGGGCACATCTGGAATTTTGAGAGAGCTCTGTGGGCTCCAGTATTCCTGGTTTATATCATAGAAATGCCTGAAGAACTTTATTGAGAGGCTACCTTTCATTTCCTTTTTAAAAAATTGTTCCACTTATTTATACAAAGAGCAACAATCAACAGTCAACAAGCTTACTACCTGAATCCCCAGCAGAACCACAAAGTGTCCATTAAATTACCCTAAATCAAACATTTTAGTCCTTTCTTTCAGTTTTTAAACAAAGATTTCATTCCACAAGTTGCGATGTGCCACTGGACACCTGTAACCATGTTCTATCAATATTGCATATGCAAGAAAGCTATGCCAAATTGATTGAAAAGTAGCGGTTTCATTGTCTCTTCGACTCTCTTGGACAGAGGCTGTCAATTTGTCCATTAGTTTTAAGCCCTAAAGTTGTAAGATCCAGATCTCAAACAGGTCTACGTTTAGCGTCTTCCAATACCTTGCAATGGTAAGCTTTGCTGCAGTCGTCAGGTGAGTAATGAGATCCTTGTGGGAAAGTTGTTGGACAGTTTCTGAATGGTATGATAGGAGTGTTATTTAGGATCCAAAGGGGTATCTTGTTTTGTGATAAGGGCTGCTTCATGAAAAACGTTTTTTTCCCCAAACACAAAGACTTTGGGGCATTGCAACCACATGTGAATAAACGAACCACACATAGCTGATACGTTTTTAGTCATTTTAGTCTTAGAAAAGGGTATATATACAATTGGTGCATGATTTTGAGTGTGTTTTCCTGGATTCTTACGGAGACAGATTTGAAGGGGCCTTTAGCCATATTCTGCTTCATAAAGTATAATCTAATGGCTCACACAGATCTTATCCCTATTGTGCTTTTAAAGTTGTGAGAGGTGACAGCATTTGAGAGTTCAGTGTTCCATAAATTTGGGAAACAAGACCTTTACCTAGTGACTTATAAATGAGCACAGTCTTTTCAAAAGGAGTCAATTTATGTTATAATGCCCATGTTTGGACTCTTTGTTGACTTAGAAAATGCCGGACCTGGTATATTGCAAACCAATTACAGTGGTACCTCGGTTTTCGAACGTCTCCGTTGACTTCTGTAAACCCAGAAGTAAATGCTACGGTTTTCGAACTCACCTCGGAAGTCGAACATGCCACATGGCTTCTGTATTGAGTTTTCCATATTGAGGCTTCCGTACTGAGTTTTCGGTTTTCGAACGTTTCGGAACTCAAATGGTCTTCCGGAATGGATTACGTTTGAAAACCGAGGTACCACTGTACTTGATACTGCAGTTAATTTTAACTCAGGTTCTGTAAGACATTGTTGATCTGTATAAAAATATTTAGCCAGAAAATCCCCACTCAGTCCCATTATCCAAATATTTTAATTCTATCTTCATTATTATGGGGAGTTATGGGGTGTTAGGGCAGACCCTCCAAATGTCCCTATTTTCCAGGGACACCCCTGATTTAGAGAAGCCATCCCGGTTTCTGATTTGATCCCAGAATGCCCCGCTTTTCCTTAGGAAATCCCTAAGGAACACCATTGGATAAATGTTGTAGGGTATGTATAAATGTTGTAGGGTATGCTATCATTGGATAAATGTTGTAAGCCGTCTGAAAGCAATCCTGTATAGGGAAGGTTTTTTTTTTTTTAACTTTTTACTGTGTTTTTATATATGTTGGAAGCTGCCCAGAGTGACTGGGGCAACCTAGTAAGATGTGTGGGGTATACATAGTAAAATTATCGTTATGGAATGGGACGAAGCTATTTTCATCGGAGAAATGTTGGAGGGTATGTTAGGGGAAAGATGGAGGGCACAAGGAGAAGGGGACGACAGAGGAGGAGATGGTTGGACGGTGTTCTCGAGGCTACCAGCATGAGTTTGACCAAACTGCGGGAGGCGGTGGAAGACAGGAGGGCCTGGTGTGCTCTGGTCCAGGGGGTCACAAAGAGTCGGACACGACTAAACGACTAAACAACAACAACATGTTAGGGGAGGGATAGTACCCCTTGTGAAGGACATGTTGTGCTTCTTCTGGGGTAATCTGTCCACCTTTGGTCCTGACCCCGCACTCAGATCTCACTTGACTGTGGCTCATAGAAACTACAGTGGTACCTCGGGTTAAGAACTTAATTCGTTCCGGAGGTCTGTTCCTAACCAGAAACTGTTGTTAACCTGAAGCACCACTTTAGCTAATGGGGCCTCCCGCTGCTGCCGTGCTGCCGGAGCACAATTTCTGTTCTCATCCTGAAGCAAATTTCTTAACCCGAGGTAATATTTCTGGGTTAGCAGAGTCTGTAACCTGAAGCGTCTGTAACCCGAGGTACCACTGTATTGGCATGTGACAGTAGCCACACCCTGGGAATGGCTTCAAGTAGCTGGCTAAACCGTGTAATGGTAGCCAACGGGTCTCAAACCCTCAGTGACTTAGAGATTTCCCCTGAATGCGAAGACAGACTGGCGGATTGAGCAGATGAGACCAAGAGTGGGTCCAATGGTCAGAAAATGCTGAGAACTACACAACTCTGGAGTCTCTAAGAAGTGAGCGGCAGATGGGGCTCATCAACCTGGGAAGGTAGCCCATCTAGAGAAGGAAAACTCTAATGAGAAACCTCCACTGCCTTGTGGGGTAACTTCAGGAGAAGAAAGGTCTAAGGAGTAAACCTGTTATGTACTGAGTTGAATAGGATCCAAATGCAGCAGTCTAATTGGTCCTAGTAGAATAAGATCCAAAATGCAGCAGTCTGATTGGTCCTAGAACAATAGGATTCAGAATGCAGCAATCTGATTGGTCCTAGAACAATGCAGCAGTATGATTGGTCCACAGGAGCCACCCAATCCAGCTCCAGGTGGAAGTGAATCCGCAACCTGATTGGCCTACAGGAGAATCCAGGAATTAGCCAATCACGTGCTGCCCATTGTGTAAATAATGTATATAAAGCAGATATTTTGGGGGAACTTTCATTCCTCACTACTATGAGCTGAATAAAGAGCATGAAATCCACACTCGACTCCGAGTATATTTCAAAACCCTACACAAATCCAGAGTGGAGTCCCTAAGAAGGCTGGATGGCGCCTTGTACACCTCTTTCCGGCAACTCCTGCATCCAGGCTGGTGCCAAACCTATTGCTCTGCTTTCCTTTGGACCCCATCAGCAAGGCCGGGAGAGGGGTCTGGGCAGCCCAGGACCTCCATACACACTGCCCAGGCTTGCACCCCGGGGGGATCACTTTGGTGCTGCTATGCAGTGGCTTGACTTCACCCCCCGAAGCGCACTCCATTGACTCTCAAGACAGGTACCAACAATATTCGTTAGAAAATGATCAGTGATAAATGAATACCATCATAGGCGAGATCAGAGGGGCTGATTTTGAAAACCACTCTTTCCAGACCCTGTACTTAGAAGAAAGTACAGTGGATGCTCGGGTTGCAAAAGTGATCCGTGGGGGAGGCACGTTCACAACCTGCAGTGTTTGCAACCTGCAGCGCTGTGTCTGCGCACACACAGGTTGCGATTTGGCGCTTCTGCGCAAAGCACAATTTAGTGTCTCCCCGCATGCACGAGCGCTGAAACCTGAATGTAACCTGTTCCGGTACTTCCGTGTTCAGTGTGGTGCGCAACCCGAAAACATGCAACCTGAAGCGTCTGTAACCCAAGGTATGACTATAAAGGATTAAGTAAATCATCTATGAACAATTTAGTTTTTGAGAAATATCTTTAGTTGCCAGGTGAAAATGCTCCTCTTCAGCTAGGCCTTGGGCTGATTAATACCCTGTATCCTTTTAAATATGTTTGTGGGAAGGGGGAGTTATTGTTTTGTTTTGACTCTTCTTTTTATTATGTATTTTGTGTTTTTATTTTGCACTTTTATGCCCAGAGAGCTACGCGTGAAAGGTGTGGTATACAAATTTACTGAATAAATGCTGTTGCTGCTATTTTTGTTGTTGTTTAATCGTGTCCGACTCTTCGTGACCCCCTGGACCAGAGCACGCCATGGCACTCCTGTCTTCCACTGCCTCCCGCAGTTGGGTCAGATTCATGTTTGTAGCTTCGAGAACACCATCCAACCATCTCGTCCTCTGTCATCCCCTTCTCCTTGTGCCCTCCATCTTTCCCAACATCAGGGTCTTTTCCAGGGAGTCTTCTCTTCTCATGAGGTGGCCAAAGTATTGGAGCCTCAGCTTCAGGATCTGTCCTTCCAGTGAGCACTCAGGGCTGATTTCCTTCAGAATGGAGAGGTTGGATCTTCTTGCAGTCCATGGGACTCTCAAGAGTCTCCTCCAGCACCATAATTCAAAAGCATCAATTCTTCGGCAATCAGCCTTCTTGATGGTCCAGCTCTCACTTCCATACATCACTACTGGGAAAACCATGGCTTTAACTATACGGACCTTTGTTGGCAAGGTGACGTCTCTACTTCTCAAGATGCTGTCTAGGCCTGTCATTGCCCTTCTCCCAAGAAGGAGGCGTCTTTTAATTTCGTGGCTGCTGTCCCCATCTGCAGTGATCATGGAGCCCAAGAAAGTAAAATCTCTCACTGCCTCCATTTCTTCCCCTTCTATTTGCCAGGAGGTGATGGGACCAGTGGCCATGATCTTCGTTTTTTTGCTGTTGAGCTTCAGACCATATTTTGCGCTCTCCTCTTTCACCCTCAATAAAAGGTTCTTTAATTCCTCCTCACTTTCTGCCATCAAGTCCGTGTCATCTGCTGCTATGTATTTATTAAATTTGTGTACATAATAACATAATCGAGCTCTGCAGTTTTAGGGTAATTTTTTTGAGTTTAAAACAGAAGAAAAGGGCGGGAATCAAACGGAACCCGCAAGCGCTACTTCCTTTCAGCTCTATGTATTTATTCCACACAGCCACAAAATGGCGGAAGCGCGCGCGTCTACCATTTCGTAAGTTTAGGGTTTCTCGAGACCGGGCGCCTCATTGGCTGGGAAGGCGCGGGAAGGCGGGACCCCGGCAGTTCCCGCTGAGGCGGCGCGGCCTAGTCATGGTGCCGGTGCTCCCCGGCCTGTATCTGGGCGGCGGCGGCGGCGGCCTCGGCCTCCCGGATGGCGCGGCGCCGGCCTGGGCGCTGCTGCTGGTGGACTCGGAGCCGCCCGAGGCCGGGGCGGTGTCGGGGGCGGAGGCGGTGCTGCACGTGCCCGCCCTGGACCAGCCTCAGGCCGACCTCCTCAGCCACCTCGACGCATGCGCAGACTTCCTCGGCCGCGCGCGGGAAAGGGGGGCGCGCGCCCTGGTCAGGTGGTGAGGGGCCGGCAATCAGAATTGCTGTTATTGTTATTATTGTTATTATTATTATTATTAGAGCGCTGCAGACCCGAAGGGGAACAATCAGAATTTATTATTATTATTATTGTTATTATTATTATTATTATTATTATTATTAATTATCAGAGCGCTGCAGACTGGCAGCGGAACAATAAGAATTATTGTTGTTATTGTTGTTGCTGTTATTATAATTATTAGAGCGCAGACTGGCAGGAGAACAACAACAATTATTATTATTATTAGAGCACCACAGACTGGCAGGGGAACAATAAGAATTTATTATTATCATTATTATTATTATAGTGCTGCAGACAGGCAGTGGAACAATAAGAATTTATTATCATTTATTAGAGCGCTGCAGACGGGCTGGGGAACAAGCAGAATTATTATTATTATTATCAGAGCGCTACAGACTGGCAGTGGAACAATAAGAATTATTGTTATTATTGTTATTATTATTATTAGAACATTGCAGACTAGCAGGAGAACAAGAACAATTATTATTATTATTAGAGCACCACAGACTGGCAGGGGAACAATAAGAATTAATAGAGCATTGCAGACAGGCAGTGGAACAATAAGAATTTATTATCATTTATTAGAGCGCTGCAGACGGGCTGGGGAACAAGCAGAATTATTATTATTATTATTATTGTTATTATCAGAGCGCCGCAGACTGGCAGTGGAACAATAAGAATTATTGTTGTTATTGTTGTTGCTGTTATTATAATTATTAGAGTGCTGCAGACTAGCAGGAGACGACAACAACAACTATTATTATTATTAGAGCACCGCAAACTGGCAGTGGAACAATAAGAATTATTATTATTATTATTATTGGAGCGCTGCAGACTGGCAGTGGAACGATGATAATAATAATTCTATTTATTTATTTCAAACAGCATATAATAATTATTGTATAAGAAAATGATATAATATAGCAATTATTATAACAAGCAGCGCTAGGGCCCGGTTTCTGCTCCTAATTTGTGTGTGTGTGTAAAGCCAGAGACATTTTTTACATTGTTCTGCCACATTTTGTTGTGAAAGGCAACTGCCCATCTTTCCTGTTCAGCCGAGAAATACTTTTTACTTCTTCTCTCCCTGATGCTCAGAAATGCTTTTTGCTTTTTCTGAGTCTCACGTTCCAACTGAAAAACAATACATAAAAATTATGTGGCCATCCTCACTTGACATCAAGGGCGCTGCCACACAAACAGGTTGGATATTGGCCAGATAGATAGATAGATAGATAGATATATGTATGTATCTATAAATTAGGATGGTAATGACAACTGTCCCACAGATATTGAGAGAAATCAAGGGGTGCTTTTTTATTTTTAGCACAGCCCGCGATCGGATACCTCCATGCCCAGCCAGAAGCCAAAGTACCGGAAAAGACGGGGTTTCTCTGGCCTTTTTTCTAACTCGGGTCTTATTACGTGTGACCTAGACATGCTGGTGCTCAAAACACAGATAACATTGAATCTTCAGTTTCTTCTGTCTCTCAGGGCATTAAAAAGAAAAAAAGAAAAAACCCTCCTCCAGGAGAATCCGGAAATCGCCTATACAGGCAATGAGATGCGACTGCAATGTGCTTTCTCTTTTCTCTCTTTCTCCCCCCGCAAATCCTTCCCTAGCATTAACTTTTGGCTGAACTTTCACTGTCTAATTTACCTTGTGCCCCAATGTGCTCCCAAATCTCAGCGTGTCCAACTCTTAGCCTGCACAGAAGGCGGAGCAGTCAAATAAATTTTTGTTGCTTCGCTGATTACCTGTGTATACAATTTGCTTTCTGTGTTCTTTTTGATGAAGCTTGCAAAAGCCGCAGCAGGCTCCATCTGGGACAGTCGATTTCCTCTTCTGTGTGAGAGACGGGGTGGGGGGTGGGGGCAGGATGCCTCTTTGAAGATGGCCACTACCACCTGCCATTTTTGTCTGTTCTTGTACACTTCTTTTTTAAAAAGTGGCACCCTGCTTTTAATCAATCTAGCCAATAATCAACAAAACATCATATCCCTACCCTAAGATGTAGAATTTTTGAATTATGGTGCTGGAGGAGACTCTTGAGAGTCCCATGGACTGCAAGAAGATCAAACGCATCCATTCTGAAGGAAATCAGCTCTGAGTGCTCACTGGAAGGACAGATCCTGAAGCTGAGGCTCCAATACTTTGGCCACCTCATGAGAAGAGAAGACTCCCTGGAAAAGACCCTGATGTTGGGAAAGATGGAGGGCACAAGGAGAAGGGGACGACAGAGGACGAGATGGTGGGACAGTGTTCTCGAAGCTACCAGCATGAGTTTGACCAAACTGTGGGAGGCAGTGGAGGACAGGAGTGCCTAGTGTGCTCTGGTCCAGGGGGTCAAAAGAGTCGGACACGACTAAACAACGACAACAAGATGTAGAATGCGTTCCCCACTTTCTCCATCAAGTCTGTTCTTTCTTTCTTTCTTTCTTTCTTTCTTTCTTTCTTTCATTCTTTCATTCTTTCATTCTTTCATTCTTTCATTCTTTCTGGTTTTGTGTACTGATTATACCGGATGCTGGTGACAAATGACAGGAGATGGCCACTGTTAGACATATTTGGCTATATGGGTGTTGGTCAAATGGAGCAGGACCCTTATGCTCTTTCTTTTGTGTAGGAAGTACGGGGGGGGGGGAATCATTGTTCCTCGGTTCAGTATATCTGAAGGAGCATCTCTACCCCCATCGTTCTGCCCGGACACTGAGGTCCAGCTGTGAGGGCCTTCTGGCGGTTCCCTCACCGCAAGAAGCCAAATTACAGGGAACCAGGCAGAGGGCCTCCTTGGTAGTGGCACCCGCCCTCCCACCAGATGTCAAAGAGAAAAACAACTACCAGACTTTTAGAAGTCATCTGAAGGCAGCCCTGTTTAGGGAAGCTTTTAATGTTTGATGCATTACTGTATTTTAATATTTTGTTGGAAGCTGCCCAGAGTGGCTGGGGAAGCCCAACCAGATAGGCGGGGTATAAAATAATAATAATAATAATAATAATAATAATAATAATAATAATAATAATATTGTTCATATAGAATTTCAACCACACTCTTGCTCTCTTGTTAGGACAGGAGCAGGATAATTTTCAGGGAGGTCATGTCTTTCAGGTGGGTGGGGAGGCAGCAGCAGGTAATGAGAGATATTGTGAAACCAGAGTACAAAATACGTTGTGCATCAAAGTACACAAAGAGCACCTGGGGAAGGCTTTGCCTCTGACTCTTGAGTATAGTATTTCTAAGGGAAAAGCTGTTGATACACAAGTATATCTTCCAAAGTTGTCATGAGAAATGTGTGCGCAGTGCTCTATTCCCTGAGTACAAGTGAATTGTAAGGAAGATGTTCTCTAGGGGGAAATGCAGTTTGAAGGGAATGAAGGATCTGGTTGTAATTTTTTTTGGGGGGGGGTCCATTTTTGTTGTGTGTGACCATATTTTATTGGGTGTCTCCTTGTTTTGTTTTGTTTTCAGTCAAGCTGGAGTCAGCCGGAGTGTTGCTGTTGTGACTGCCTATTTAATGAAAGCCAATAAACTCCCTTTTGAAGAGGCCTATGCCTTTGTCCAGGCCATCAAACCAGATGCCAAGTGCGTTTTTATTTGATAAAATTTGTTTTCCTTCCTTGTGAAGATTGGAATGTAATCAGAAGGCTTCCCCCCCCTTGTTCCAGAATGAATGAAGGCTTCGAGTGGCAACTGAAACTCTATGAAAAAATGGGCTGTGAAGTCGATGTGACCAGTACTATTTACAAACAGTATCGTTTGCAAAAGGTTACAGAGAAATATCCTGGTAAGGAAATAGAAGTGCTTTTCTAATCTCTTAACATTGGGCTAGAAATGGCTACATACAAATTCCGCTACTGTATTCACATTGGAGAGCCAGTGTGGTGTAGTGGTTGAGAGCGGTAGTCTTGTAATCTGGGGAGCCGGGTTCGTGTCTCCGCTCCTCCACATGCAGCTGCTGGGTGACCTTGGGCCAGTCGCACTTCTTTGAAGTCTCTCAGCCCCACTCACCTCACAGAGTGTTTGTTGTGGGGGAGGAAGGGAAAGGAGAATGTTAGCCGCTTTGAGACTCCTTGAAGGGAGTGAAAGGCGGGATATCAAATCCAAACTCTTCTTCCTCCTCTTCTAACTGAACTTGCGTTGTTGAACTCTACTTGAATTGCCACCCCCCCCCCCCCATGTTCTTTCACCTGAAATGGGTAATAACAAAACTGCAAAAAGCCTCCAACCTTGATATACTATGAATAATCAAGCACACCTAAACTTGATCTCATTGGTGCAAGAGCAGAAATCAGTTTTCAGCAATCTTCCCTCCAGGAGAATCCACTCCTGGTTTTCTTTTGGCACATGCCAGCTTCCTTTCTCTGTAACAGCCCTGTTTTGGCTCCTCTCCCCAACCTTTCTATTACTCGGTCATTTAGAAATTAGGTAAAGTGAATGGAGTTTTTGATTGCTAGTTGAAAAAACGTTCTAATTTCAGACTTTACTGATTACTAGTCTGTCTTAAGGTGTTTGTGTGTAAAGGTCTTAAGCTTTCGTGTGACAGTTTTGGGCTACAGTCTCATGTATTCCTTCTCCCTTTTCAAGGCAAGTTGTACAAATGCCTCCTTTTCAGTTTTTTATTTTGTAATCAGACCTTGTGTGTGTACCAAATCTCAACAGTCTAAATTATGCGGAAGCACTTTCACATTTTTATGTTCCTATGAATGAGGCCGATATGTGTAATTCTTTCTTTTCTTTTCTTTTCTTTTCACATTATCAAGCTGCATAAGGGAACAGTTGAGGCAAGTCTCAATGGCATCCTTGGTTTAGAATTTTGTTAACGTTTTCAGGTTGGACTAAATCAAATATGAAGACCCAAAGAATGGGCTTTGCTTGCATTAAGAAAAATAAAGTCACTTCTTCTTCTTCTTCTTCTTCTTCTTCTTCTTCTTCTTCTTCTTCTTCTCCTTCTCCTTCTCCTTCTCCTTCTCCTTCTCCTTCTCCTTCTCCTCTTCCTCTCTCCCTCTCTCTGTGTGTGTTTGTGTGTAAAGGTATCTTTCTTGGTCTCCTATCTTGCTGTCAGGACGGTGCTTTGTGCTACAGAAGAACTTAGGCACATGCACAGAGTGTTTGTGAAGCATTTTTCACAATGTAAAGGCTAAAAATCAAGCAGTCCATGTACTGTAAGACATAAAGCTGGTTGGAATTGCAGAAATATGGATCCTCCACTTTCTAGTGCCTCTGCTCAGTGAAGAAAGTGAGGATCCTGTAAGCATATTTTATAAAACACAGTGTTTCAACTGGAATAGTATAATCTGTTAAAACCAATGAAAAGTCAAAAGTCGTGAGCTAGCTTTCGAGTTTCACAAAACTCCTTCAAGCTGGATGCTCAAAATGCTGATAACATCAAACAAAGTTAAAGGTTTGTGTGAGTGGAAACACTGTTGCAGGTAGGAAGTTTGGTGGAAGGCCCATTTGCAAGATGTGACAGTCTTCAGTGGCGCTCCAGAAGTTCTTCACAAATTTACCTAGATATTTGCTAATAAAAAGATTGCAACATTTCCCCTTCTGCTTGGCAGAGGCTTGTGAGCTGTAATTAATAATAATATTTATTAGTTATTTATATAGTATAATGTATAAATATGACACTTTACAAGGAGGTATCTGCCCCAAGTGGCTTGCTTACAGCCTAGGAATATATTACAGTGGTACCTCAGGTTAAGTACTTAATTCGTTCCGGAGGTCCGTACTTAACCTGAAACTGTTCTTAACCTGAAGCACCACTTTAGCTAATGGGGCCTCCCACTTCCGTCTCGCCGCCGGAGCACAATTTCTGTTCTCATCCTGAAGCAAAGTTCTTAACCTGAAGCACTATTTCTGGGTTAGCGGAGTCTGTAACCTGAAGCGTATGTAACCTGAGGTACCACTGTACTATGTGCTCAGTCTTTTTTTTCATCATTAGCATGTCTCTTGGCTCCTGGTGCTTCACATGAGGAGTGGCAGTACAAAGCATGGCACTTTCTCAGGCACAGAAAAAGAGGCACACAGTGGCATGAACCAGCAACCCTCCCTATTTGGATGTAGACATGTTCTCATTATAATGAGCAACAAAGACATAGTTGCAAATGTCTTGCTTTGTATCTGATTCTTTTTTGTGCACGGCCAGCATAAGAACACACCTCAGTTTGGTCTTTCCAAAAAGCATTTCTTAAAGTTAGGATCTGCCACCCCAGTTTTGTACATGGACTTAGACACTCGTGCTCAAGGTTAATCTGAGCTTAGGCTCCCTCTTCTGTTTTCCACATGGAACTCAGCTTTGCCTGTAAGTCAGGCATGGCCAAACCTGGCCCTCCAGCTGTTTTGGGACTACAATTCCCATCATCCCTGACCACTGGTCCTGTTAGCTAGGGATGATGGGAGTTGTAGTCCCAAAACAGCTGGAGGGCCAAGCTTGGCCATGCCTGCTGTAAGTCATCTCATTACTGCTCCATGGCAAGAAACTTAAAAGTATCCTACTGTCAATCAAAAGCGATGCTACCTTTTGTTACGGGAAAGCTCTTCCTCTTCTAGCCAGATTTGCAACCTTGATCAGTCTCTCTGGCATCCTCCAGGACGGATTGTTCTTGCCCTAGCTAGTAGCTCCCCCTTCCTGTCTCCTCTGCTTGACTCCTTTCTTTTTGTCTGTCTATGTTCGTTATTTTTATCAGATCTAGTCAGGAAGTTAAAGGGAGCACACAGGCTTATTCTCCCCTTTTAAGGCACACTTTCTGCCTTTCCCCATTTGGGGCAGGGGGGCCGAGGAAAACCTAGGTTGCTTGCTTGGGTATTGCACCATGTGGGTCTTGGAGGATCTTCGGAATCCTTGCGTACATTGCAGCCTTTTCCCCTGGTTGTCCCCAGATAAAAAGTGGTATCCTGTTATCTGAGAGTCAGGTTGTCTGACCACCCAAAAATTTGTACTTGGCTGCTCCAAAAACCCCAGACTCTTGAATAACACTGAATCTTGGGATAGTCACTCTTCCTTTGGAACAGGTAAATGGCACTTCCAACTCTTGCATTTCTCTCTTTCACTTCAGTTTTCCTGATCTTGCTCTTCTTTCTGCCCTCGGGTGGCCCAAACTTGCGCCATTCACACTTCAAGCTTTCATTTCCCCCCTCCTAGGCCTCCATTGCAGCCTGCAAGATCCCTAGTGCCCCTTCTCTTCTCCTAAAATGCAATAGTAATACTTTCCGCTTTCATCTCTCTCCATAGAAACCAGTGTGTTCAGATGTAATGTGTGATCAGGGACACATGTAGGCAGCAGAGGAAAAGGATGGAAACTGAGGTGCAGTAATAGGGGGAAGAACATGCAACACCTGCAACATGTGCTTTTGGGCCCAGGTGGTTGTGCCAAAGGTTTCACAGAAAATGTGGCTTTTTAGGGTGGATTTGAAGAAAGCAAGAGAGTGGGAGTATCACAGGCATTTTGACAGCTCTAGGCCAGGCATAGGCAAACCCAGCCCTCCAGATGTTTTGGGACTACAACTCCCATCATCCCTAGCTAACAGGGATCAGGGATAATGGGAGTTGTAGTCCTAAAACATCTGGAGGGCCGAGTTTGCCTATTCCTGCTCTAGGAATTGGGCAGCAATGGAGAAGGAGTGATCCAAAGGAGCAGAAGACTTGCCCCTCCCAGCTCCTTTGGGAGGAAGGGAGGGATATAGATTCAATAAACTAAAACGAGACCTTTGGGTGACTGGTGGTGAAGTGAACAAGTTGTCATGGGTTTGAACGCGTCTGGATAGAAGAGTGGAGATGTAAGGGGCAAGGCTATTGATGGTTTAGAAGGCAAGGATGCAGGATCCAGGAGTGGATAGGAAGCTGGTGTAGGACTTTCTTAGATTACTGCCAGAGAGCGACAGAACTACATAAGTGGTGGCTTTTATAGTTTCAAAAAGAGTGATGGTTCCTGCTCCCCCCCCCCCCCCAGTATGCTGTGGGGCAAACAGATCATTTGCACCAAGCACTAACTTAATTCATTTGCAAAGAGCTTCCTGGATAATCTACTTAAGATACATAAGTTCTTAACCCGAGGTACCACTGTATTGCAAATAGGCTTCCACTATGCCCTTTATCATCAGCATATTTCTCCTACTCCTTTTGTTTAACATCCAGCCTGCTCAAAAGTTCCATGAAATGCAAAAGTTAGCGTACTGCTTTGAGACTTTGACGTGAATATAATAAAGGTATCATGGCACCTTGAACTTCTTGAAGGAAAAGTGGGCTATAAATGAATTACCATATTTTATGCTCTATAAGACTCACTTTTTCCCTCCTAAAAAGTAAGGGGAAATGTGTGTGGGTCTTATGGAGCGAATGCAGGCTGCGCAGCTATCACAGAAGCCAGAATAGCAAGAGGGATTGCTGCTTTCACTGTGCAGCGATCCCTCTTGCTGTTCTGGCTTCTGAGATTCAGAATTTCCCCCCCTTGTTTTCCTCCTGCAAAAACTGGGTGCGTCTTGTGGTCTGGTGCGTCTTATAGAGCGAAAAATACGGTAAAGAAGTGAAGCAGGTACTGCTGCTTTTGTTTTAAAAAATTTTTAATGGATCAACATAGCTGATAGCATGTTTATGTGAAATTGGTTTTTGCAATGATCTCATAAAGTGAGAATAAATGCACATCTGAGTATAGGCTTTTTTAATGAAGGAAGGAGTCCTCTGTAGGCAGTTACAACCACAATAGTTCCTTTATGGTATTTATTTATTGGGACAAAAGCTTTCTTTTTTAAAAAGCAGATTTTATTGTAAAGTCCCCTGAACATTTTGCTTCAGGATAATATATAAATGCAGTAAACCAATACAAGCTTTTAATGTTTAATGATGACTGTCTGCAAGTTTATAAATGCACCGTTGCTTCTTCTTTTCAGAGCTACGAAATCTGCCGCGAGATGTCTTTGCAGTTGATCCAAACACTGTACAGCAAACTCCAAACACTGAGGTTCTGTACAGGTGTAGAAAGTGCAGGTATGGGGCTCCACAAATATATTTATTAGATTTATATCCTGCTCTGTCCTGTGACTTACAGCAGTTATTTTCAAATAGTAACACTTCTGTCCCCATGGATCTGGTCTGGGGAGCCGAAAAGGTGTCCCGTCTTGATTTACTTGGTTCACACAAATAAATGTAGTATTTGTGCTGGCTAATAAACGTTGTGATGCAAGGGTCCTCGCCAAGGCTGTGTTTTGGCAAGCTTTTAGTAAAACCGTATTAGTATTAGTTTTGAGTAATTTATTGTGTGGAAAAATATATCTCTTCTGACTTGTAGGGCACCTTATTCTGATAGGTAAAACTGACCATGTTCTTGCAAATTGCACAAGATGTGGTAAACTTGTTTTTGTGAGTGGATGTCAAATTGAAGAAGATGGGAAGGTGATTTACTATTCTGCTGTACCAAAAAATGGGTGCAGATTAAAAAGTAGAATCAGGCAGAAAGGTCCCCACCTAATCATCTCTGCAATAAGCTAGGTTTCTATGCATTTTCCTCATGAGGAAAGCATTCCATCATTCACTTTCTACATGCAGTTTGAAGTGACACTGTCCCAATACAGATTTACCCCTTTGTCTGCTTGTATGACAACTGGCTCAGTGTCCCAGATATACAGCGGCGAATAGATTATATATAAATAATACTTGAAAAATGGAGATGTTGGTCAGAATGTGTAAGGAAAGGGAAAGATTGCCCAGGGCTAAGTCTCTGTAGCAGAGCAAGAAAACCATTTGGTTTTAATTAACCCTCGTGGGCAATATATAATATAAAGTAGAAGGAAACAGTGCTATAAACATTTTGGAACTTAATGCGGCAGCAGAGCGAGCTTTCTGAAGGAGCCATGGCGATTTGGTGTCTCATTAGACTGCACAGCCATGAGACCTGCCTTGCTGGAGGTGAGAGTGGAAGTGTCAACTGAGATAACCTGCGGCTCTTAGCAGCTCATGTCCTTTGGCAGAGCTCCCTGGTTACTGCTGAAAGGCAGTGGCATGCCTGCCAATTGCTTGATTTGGGGAAAATTCTGCAGATGGTGGCAGGAGAGACCCATTCCCCCCCCCCCCTTGTAGCAGCCCTTGTTATCTTGCAGGCCAACTGATAGCAGCTACATGAGAATTGGCTGTTGGATGCGTATTACTTAGGTGACCCATTGAACAAAGATCTGGAGCCGATCTAAACGCATCTGATTGCACATGCCAACTTTAGTGTTCTTTGTGTCTGACCCGATTACAAGTTTGCTTGCTGGCCGACTAAGATGTCATCTTGGCCTGTTGTCCTGATCCCCTGGCCTACCTGGCAGTAAGTCAGTGTGCCAAGTCCAAGTTCAAAATCCAAGGGTCAATCAGCACAAGCCACACCCAGAGTCAGAAATCCAAAGTCCAAAGGTCAGGAAAGGAGGTTCAGGGTCAATCCAAGTAGCCAAGCCTGAAGTTCTGAAGTTAGAATACAGTCCAGCATCAAACCCAAAGGTCAGTCCTGTGGAGGTCCAAGAGCACCCAAGTCAAGGTCCCTCAACATGGGCAATTCAACAGACACAGCACCTCACCTTTGCTGCCCTATTATACTATACCTGCTGACTGCAGCATCTGGGCTTGATGAGGCACGTGACGCTCACCTGCTCCCAGCCTACTCCATCTGAGGAATCACACACTTCCTCCCAGAACTAGCGAGCCCCACCTGGCCAGCTACGGAGCTGGGCTGTGGGCCCTTGCCTGCCTTAGCCTTCTGGAGCACCCTGCCTGCTGCTTCCGACACCTCAGAGCCTGCTGTGTACATGGAGACATCTGGTGATGGGTCCTGTTACTCTGGTTTCTGTTCACTGACCCCCATCCCCTCGCCCTCCTCTGCCCCCCTGTGAGTACTTCCTACACCAACATCTCCTTCCCCATCCCCAGCTTGCCCTGGTGTGTCCCAAGTCCTGGCCACACCTTTTGCTGGAATCCTCTTTCTCCTCCCTGTAGTCCTGATAATTCAGAGAACCTATTGGGACTAGCATGGCAACATTCCCACACCTGTATAGGCGACAACTATTTCAGGTGTATCCAATTGACGTGTGATCGCTGATGTGCAGGTCCCTTTGGATGTGGAAGAAGGCAGAACAGGGCAGGGCGCTCAGCCAATGTGTGTAGGGGCCGGGAATGGAACCCCTGCGCAAAATGGTTGCTGCCTGAATATGTAATAGGGTTGTGGTATAGGATGTGGTTGCCTTCTGGTGTTGCTGTGCAAAGTGTGTATTCGTTTAAAAATGCAAGAAAAATGAAGATCCAATTCTAAACGATTGTTGTGGGCCTACCCAGTAGTCTTGGCCAGAAGTGACCGCCTGGGTTGCAGGTTGCTTGCAAATGCCTTATCCTTTGACCATATTGGAGATACATGGGAACTCCAAGTAGGCTTCAGCAGTCAGATCAGGAGAGCTGCCTACGTAACCAAAATGACATCTTTAGAAGAGTGGAAGAAGGATTTCATCCTAAATTAATGCATGGATTAAAGAACTTATGAAAGTGGCAATATGAAAACCTGTTAACGTGCGAAATAATGTGTTTGCTTTATGATTAGGAACTCCCACAATGAATTTTTCTGTTGACTCCATACTATTTACCTACAGTTTCTTCCTCATATCTTATTGATGCGAAAGATAGTTTAGATACAGTATATTGTTGCTTTTGATTATATGTTTCTTTCATTTCATATGCTTTAATGAACAAAGATGACATTTCTTTCAGATACCTTTCCAAGTCATTCTGTTACCTTTGTTTCTGGATGACAGGCGCCTGCTCTTTCGAAGTTCAAGCATCTTGTCTCATGATGAAGGCAAGGGACCTGCTGCTTTTGCTCATAAGAGGCTTTCGAGACCTGCCCCTTTTCACTATGATGACCAGTCTAGGTGTACTTCTTACTTCATTGAGCCTGTGCAATGGATGGAACCTGCACTCTTAGGAGTGATGGATGGACAGGTGAGGGGAAACAATAACAGTTTGAATCTTTGGAAATCTTCAACTAGTCAGCTAAGAAAACGGCAGCAAAGCAAGCAGTGAGCTGAAGGGGAACCTGAGCAAATACAGTGGAACCTCGGTTGTCGAACATTTCGGAAGCTGAACATTTCAGCTTTCGAACGCCGACAACCCGGAAGTGAATGCTTCCATTTTCGAACATGCCTCAGAAGTTGAAGGGCTTCTGAGGCGCATTTCTCTATTTTCTCAATGGATTTTGCCGACCGGCAATTGCGCCTCAGTTGTTGAACGTTTCGGAAGTTGAACGGTCTTCCGGGACGGATTACATTTGACAACCACGGTTCCACTGTATTGAAAAGTGCAATGGAGCTGAGAAAATGATGGGCTTGTGGGGGATTTTATAGGACCAATGGATACTTGTCTGCATGTGTGAGTGTGCATTGTTTGCAATAAATAATAATAATAATAATAATAATAATAATAATAATAATAATAATAATAATAATTTATTTGTACCCCACCCATCTGACTGGGTTTCCCCAGCCACTCTGGGCAGCTTCCACAAAGACCAAAAATACACTAAGATGTCACACATTAAAAACTTCCCTGAACAGGGCTGCCTTAAGATGTCTTCTGAATGTCAGGTAGTTGTTTATCTCTTTGACATCTGATGGGAGGGCGTTCCACAGGGCAGGTGCCACTACTGAGAAGGCCCTCTGCCTGGTTCCCTGTAACTTGGCTTCTCGCAATGAGGGAACCGCCAGAAGGCCCTTGGCACTGGACCTCAGCGTCAGGGCAGAACGATGGGGGTGGAGAAGCTCCTTCAGGTATACTGGACCGAGGCCATTTAGGGCTTTCAAGGTCAACACCAGCACTTTGAATTGTGCTCGGAAACGTACTGGGAGCCAATGTAGGTCTTTCAAGACCAGTGTTATGTGGTCTTGGTGGCCACTCCCAGTCACCAGTCTAGCTGCTGCATTCTGGATTAATTGCAGTTTCCAGATCACCTTCAAAGGTAGCCCCACATAGAGCGCATTGCAGTAGTCCAAGCGGGAGATAACTAGAGCATGCACCACTCTGGCAGGACAGTTCGTGGGCAGGGAGGGTCTCAGCCTGCGTACCAGATGGAGCAGAGAGAGTTTGGGTAACAGAACTTCAGATGCTGAGTAATGTGGCCAGAGGAGGCCAGATTTTATGTTGATTTGAACAAACCAGTCAAATCTTTAGAAGTTGGAGATCCATAGCGATAGTTAGTTTTGAAGTTTATCTTTTCCTGTAATTGGAGAGAAGATAGAGCATTAAGCGAGTTGTTTGTCTTGTTCTCTTGCAGCTTCTGTGCCCAAAATGTACATCAAAGCTGGGCTCCTTCCATTGGCAAGGTGAGCAATGTTCGTGCGGCCATTGGGTGACCCCTGCCTTCCAAATTCACAAGAGTCGTGTGGATGAAGTAAAAGGACTGCTGCCCGTGGGTACTGTAAAAAGGTGAACGTGGTTTGTACTTCCGCAGTCCAGTCAGTGGCCTCGTTCCTGTATAAAGGATTGTGTTTCCTATAGGTTTACAGCAAGTGATACGTACGACAGAACCAGTTGAACTTGAGTGTTTCCAGGAAAGCCATTTTGTACTGGAATACGTAGACTTCATGTATCATTAAAAAAAGGAAAAAAGAAAGAGGGAGCAGGCCCTAGGGGTAAACCAGAGCTGGGGGCAAGATTAGGACTGTGGCATGTGGTAATGAGAGCATTAACCATTCTCTCTGCATCACGGTTCTGATGAAAATCTCACCTCCCTACTCCTCCTGTATGCTATGGTCCTGACTTTTATCAGCCTCCCCTGTCCCCATGCCTACGGTTTCTTCAAAACGAAACAAAGATGTGTGCAATGCAATTTGTTGCTTGTCCCTAGCTTGTTCACTTGTTTTGTCAAGAAATTTTCCAAAATGTTCTGCATCCAGTGGGTTTACATAAACAAACCCGCTTGGTTTTAGCGTCCAAAAGACTATTAAGGAAAAGTAATTAGGGAGACACTGCAGCTGTTAGATTGCTATAAAATAGCGTTCTGAAATTTGATAGTTTTGGTGCAAAATATGATTGGACGTTTGGGAATACAGAACAGGAAGAGAACTCGTCATGATGATACAGGAGTGCCAGCCACTGGATGCCTGATGCCTAATTATCACTTTCAACTGGATTGTAACTTGGAAAAGGACTATCAGAAAAACCGCTTTGCAAGTGTCTCTGGTGACTGTTGATTTATCAGCAATAAGTTATATGTTATGATTTCCTACATCATGAGGGTTTCTAACAATCTGTTGTGAAATGGATCCAAATTACAGGTAGCCAGCATTTGCTGAATCACTTGACTGACAAAAATTAGTATTGGTTTCTAGGTCATTTACTGAAAGGGTTTGTAATCTTTTCCCAACAAGGTATATTACGTGCTGTATGCAAATTGCATTTTGAAATTAAAAAAAATTACTGAAAACTTGGTGTGTGAGTTAATGGTAGGGGAGGGGAATTGGTAGGCTGTTACATTACAGAGATGCTCAGTTGTCGAAGATAATTAAGAAAACAGCACTGTCTGCAGATCTAAAGCAAGATGACAGATACTAAATATGCTTTTGAAGTATATTTTCAATATCAGAGTTTTTAAGGGCTGGGCTGCTCACCTCAACTGATAGGGGACTTGCAACTTGCACATCTTGGAAGTACAAGTATTTGTTGATGTCTAAATATATGCACAATCCCTACTTTATGTATGTTTCATCCTTTTCCATGGGACATGGTATTGCTTAATTCCCCTTGAGCAAGTTTCAGGTTAATACACTTACAAGGTTCCAAACATATTTCCATGTTTCCTTATTTTGCATATTGTTTTTTTTTTAAAAAAGCAAAAGCTGAGATTTTAAAACAAAAGCTGAAATTCTTGTGAAATATATTTTAGAATGAAATGTGACACAAATTAGGCCAAGGCATTGGACAGCCATAAAAATGGAAGGGTTGATAAAACTCTGGGGTTGAAGAAGTTAACGCTGACACATAAGTGGGGAAAAAAAATAATTTAGTGGATGGGTATGGGTTTTTTTTAGTGTATGGAGGGGGTCAATAAGATGTTTAGTGAGGCAGATACTAGTTCAGGTTAAAAGAGGCAAATTCATAAGATTATAGCAGGTCTTTCTTGGCTCAGAAATGTACAGTATTTGGGTTAACACAGAACACTTAAGCAAGCTAGAAATGTGTGTGTAGAGTCTGATCTTTGTTTTGCAGTTCCACAGTTAAACCCATTGATGTTTTTTCCCTGGATAAAATGGGGCCCCCTCTCCATCACTAGAAGAGTTGCGTGTAGAATTCTGTAGCTGATGATAAGGGATTAAGCTCAGGAGTGAATATAATTGGATTAATTAAGACTTCGGAAGCAGGAAGAAATAAAAACTTTGCACCCTGAAACCCAGCGCATGGGAAGTCACACAAAATGTACAGTTGGCTTTATATTTGATATATATTTGAATATTAATTGTAATTTGACACTGAAAAAATGTGGCCGTTATTGGATTTTAGTAATTGGAAATTAATAAAAATTATTTGCACAAAAAAATAAAGAAGAGTTGTGTGTAACATGAAAGCCCGTTTACAAATTAAGAAACAGAAAAGGAAACATTGAGGTTCGACCTGTGTTGGCATAGTAGAACTTTGCAAAATGCTGAAATACACCTCATCCTGGTGTAAGAAGCTGCGCCGTCAAAACCAAACTCTGCTACAATCGGTTTTTGCTTTCACTGTTCTTGAGAAGTACACTGAAGGAAAAGTTCAGGCCCCATGGCTTGCGCTGTGGTTGCGACACACCTGTGTTGCTCAGGAGAGCTTAAAGGCTTCCAGCTCTTGAACTTTGACCACGGCTATGAAATGACTCTTGGGCTTGCGGGGGATTTTTCAAGGTACTGTTCCCCATGTGTGTCCTCTTGCACAGTGATGTGTATAATAGTGCAACAATAAATCCACGGTTTGCGCTGGTGGAGTTTCTGACTGCTATATTGTTCAGACAACGCACAGAGAACTAGAATTTCTTACATTGTTAGAAGTAGCGACAAATTGCTGGTCCAATAAAACATTCACTGATTAGTAATCAAATAACATTCAGTATTCACAATAAAGTGCCCTGTAATTGTGCGAGACATCTGGAAATTCTTTTATTCTCTCACCAGGAAATTGCTGTGTCCTATATAAATGCACATTTTATTGCATTTGCTGTATGTTTTCTTGACGTAAGTTTGCTGGCTCATTCTTGAGAGATGCTTCTTCATTTATGCTGCTCAACTATCCTAGCCCAGTCCATGTCCTACATTGCTGATTGCAGCTCTGGGCTCCTTTGGGAGAAAGGATGGGATATAAGTTTAATTAATAATATTGTTTATTCAGAAGTAAAGTCTCTCCAGGTTCAGTGGGATTTACTCCAAGTAATCATGTTTCTTGAGAGATTTTTGCAAACCAGCTCGCTTCAAGATTTCTCGACTGCAGCTTTTTCAAGGTTAATTTGTTTTTACGAGTTGATGGAAAACAACCGTTTAAAAGCATGTTGGCTTAAATGAAGTCAAATAATAATAGAAAGCTGAATCAGTTGTCAGCAACGATTAGCTTTACGTTTCAAATGCTAATTTATTGTTTTGAGCTGTGTTGAAATGGACTTATGCATTGTTGAATAGAAAGTGACATCTAGAGGTGGTTCGTACTACTGCACTTTTTGGTTGGGTTGCTAATGGTTCTTAGTAAAGGCTACTGTTTACTTTCGTCAAATAGAGCTGTACAAAACATAGCTGCCTATTATGTTCTCTTTGTGGTTTCCCCACCCATTCATTATAAATTACTGGACAAATTTCTTAACCTAGGATGATTAATTTATGGTCAGTAGAATAGCCAGGCTGAATCAGAAAAGTATAGCTGTTTAGCCTGCAATTACAATCCTTTGTTGTTTCCTCTTTTTTTTGAAAATGCAGGAAATGTTTCTGCCAACCATGTTGCCCTTCTGTGTTTTCCCTATTCCCTATTCTTGTTGTATGTTGGAAGTTCATTTGCTGCAATTTACTCGCTAAAACCGAATATGGCTGCATTGGAATGCATGGAGGCTTTTCTCACACAAGTGGTGTTCTGCCTTCTGCACATTGACACCTGTGTGACGTTTCCAGAGGTTAAACCTGGCACCATGCCTGCACACTTACTCCTTCGTGCAACTTTCCTGCTGCTGGAGCATGTATGCTGCTGCTGTGCCAATAAGTGTTTCGAAAAACTGAAAAATTGCTTTAGACAGTAAAAGACAAAAACAGTGGGTCTTTTATTAAAAGAATAGTAATTGTGCCTACAAAGGTCCGTATAGTTAAAGCCATGGTTTTCCCAGTAGTGATGTATGGAAGTGAGACTGCAAGAAGATCAAACCTATCCATTCTGAAGGAAATCAGCCCTGAGTACTCACTGGAAGGACAGATCCTGAAGCTGAGGCTCCAAGACTTTGGCCACCTCATGAGAAGAGAAGACTCCCTGGAAAAGACCCTGATGTTGGGAAAGATGGAGGGCACAAGGAGAAGGGGACGACAGAGGACGAGATGGTGGGACAGTGTTCTCCAAGCTACCAGCATGAGTTTGACCAAACTGCGGGAGGCAGTGGAAGACAGGAGTGCCTGGTGTGCTCTGGTCCAGGAGATCACAAAGAATCGGACACAATTAAACAACAACAAAACAACAATTGTGCCTACACAGACCTCTGGCCCACAGGCTTAGGTGATTCCCCAGGCCATGCCTTCCCTTCTTAGGTACCTTAGCAAGCTGGGATTGTGTCTTTTTGCCCCGTCACTGGGAACTGAGCTCCCCATCCAACATGCCACGGATTAGAGTGGAGTATATACCAAGAAAAAAGGCACACCAAGAACTCAGGCCAATGTAAGTTTCAATAGTGGGAGTAGTCCCTACTCACAAATAAATAATCAATTTTATCTAAAACTGATCCATTCAAAAGTATGTATTCTGACAAGGATTACAAACTCAAATAGAGATTACAAACTCAAACTCATAAAGATATGCATAACACGATAATTCGTTACAGAATTAGAAATAAGAATTTATGAGTAGAGACAAGTTCATGTTGGTCCATAGTCAGATTCAATATGAAGATCTTAGTTTCAATCATTGAGCAGAAGTCAGAAGTCAATTATGGATCAGAAACCAGGACAGGCCCTGTTTCGATGTATTCATCTTCATCAGCTGCAAGTATCAAATATTACATGATAGATTATCACGTCGAATCTGACTATGGACTAACATGAACTTGTCTGTAACGAATTACTGTGTTATACATATCTTTATGAGTTTGAGTTTGTAATCTCTATTTGAGTTTGTAATCCGGGTCAGAATACATACATTTGAATGGATCAGTTTTTGATAAAATTGATTATTTATTTGTGAGTAGGGACTACTCCCACTATTGAAACTCACATTGGCCTGAATTCTTGGTGTGCTTTTTTCTTGGTATATATACTGATTAGAATGGATCAGCTGTCATGGAGTGATGGTTGGATGATGATGAGTGATCAGAAGGAGAAGACTTGGGAAGAGGAAGTGCCGGAAGCTGAAGAGGTAACAGGACTTAGTGAGCAGGAAGAGTCTGTGGCAGAGAGAAGTCCAAAATCAGAGGCAGAAGCAGAGGTGGGGACAAGAGGCAGAGATGAATCTGGCTGGGGAAGACGTACGAGTGTCTGCCCCTCCTGCTGTGACAAGCTCCACTCCCAGGCCCAGAAAAGCATGTATGAAGAGGGAGGAGCAGAGATAGGTGGGTTAGCGGAGGCTCAGATTGCTTGGGAAGAATCCAGAGGAGGAGGAGATGATTAGGCAGCTGTGGGAAAGCAGGAATCTTCAGCCACCACAATTGCCCCATAGGGGCAAGACCTACTGGGAAGAGCTGCTGTGCTCATTAGGCCTGGCTCCCCTGGTTTCTGCCAATAAAGAGTTAACTTCACATACTCCGTGTGATTTATTGCTGGTTGGCTCCCTGAGATCAGCTGAGGAGTGGTGGTGATTTTGTTCCCAATTGCAGCATATGGGTTCAAATCTCCCTGCCCATTGAACCACAGTGGGGATGAAAAACAGGCCCTACTCCAGTTTTCAGCTGAACTGCACTGATTGAGGGTTTAGATTAGAAGGACCCAATTTTTATCCTGATATTAGCACATTGTGTTAGAAAATAACCTCCTATTCCCCAGCTGATCTGCATGGATCACCTGAGAAGGGGACTTGGCTGAGAAAGTGGCAGTACATGTGTGTAGTTGGGCAGATGGTTGCACAGGGAAATCAACCACAACATTTCTAGTGCTTTAGCACATTGTGTGTGCAGATGCATAACCCCATCCATTCACTCCTGTCTCTGACCTTCCAGCTGGCAATTCCAGAAACTCATTCCCTCCTTTTTCCAGTAGGATTGATGTGTGAAGATAAACTAATTCCACTAATTTTCTCTACTTACACCTATTTACTGGGGACCAGCTAACAGGCCTCTCATCACCAGCTTCCCCTCCGGT